ACATAATAGTCACGCATTTTCATTTTTGCACACAACCGGGAACATAATAGTCACGCATTTTCATTTTTGCACACAACCGCTTGGAGCGGAAAAAACGAAATTCCTTCCATGGATGTGACTGATGAGATAAATAGGGCGGTTCTTCATACCACTAGTGACATAAGCTTTAAATCCGAAAGCTGAACAATCTGAGAGGTAAAGAATCTCTCAATAACTAATACTTATAGTGCAATGTAAGACACTAGATAAGTGTGACAACAAATTTTTTTTTGGTGAAGTAAAGATCATGCTATTCGAAGAGTTGGAGCAGGAAAATCTCGTGCTATAAAATTAGCTTACCACCGGAAAAGGCGGTGTTTGACCGAGACTGCTTCTTTTCATGATGCTGGTTCGATCCAAGCATTACTTTGGAGATGGATATTTTTAGAAAATAAAAGTGACGTAATGACGACTTCAAAGTGCACCTTTTTATCTATGTGGATGATCGGCGAGCCTTTGCTTACCATCTCTGAAGATACTCATCAAAGTTGCAATTTTTTGTGAGCTCAGAAAAAGAAATGGACGGTTAAAGGCAAAGTTCGGGCTCAGACCCACCTAAGAAGCCCTTACCATGGCTAGAAGTGCTGGGTACGCAAGTGCAAAGGTAGCGCCACCTTTCTACATCGAAACGCGTCACTAGGACCCTAGGCGCCATGGACTTCTAACAGACTCCACCAAACTTAACATGGTCCGCCCACCGTTCGATATCTTGTCTGCGTCGCTGCGTTGATCTGCTATGCTCTCTCTTCTCGGACTTCTCTACCGCTCTCCGCGCTCACATTATCTCTCTCCCTGCCTGTCTTTTGAACTTCTCCACAGCATAGAGCAAAATGCTCGTATTTCCTGTGTATTTCAGGATTTTCTTTCCTTTTTCTCCAGCGGTCCACCTCCCATCCCTACTTTCACATTTGAGTGGAATCAACCCATCAATTTAATCCCGATTCTTGCCTCTAAGGCAATGAACTTTCAAGGAGAGGATCTTGAATGTTTCAGTGTCATCGAACTTCCTGGGCCAGTCGGTCAAGCAGACAGCAAGTGGTTTGGGCAACATGATTACCGGTACCTCCGATATTGCAGCCAGAGCCGCTGGGCTCATCCCATTCTTCGGCGGATATTTCGAGAACATGATTGGTGGCACAGGAAGTTGGTGTTTCCTTTTATCCTTTCATTTTTGTTTAGTGTTTCGTTCTGTTTATAAAATTATTGGAGTTGGGTTTTCGGTACAGGATACTTCGGAAGTTTGAGCGAGCGCTCGGGAGTGGAATTGGAAACATGTTGGACGGAAGCGTGTCGTCACAGGTGATAACCACTACTAATGCATTGGGCAACAATAGCTGAACAGATGAGCAATTTTAATAGGCTTTATGCTTAACTTTACAGGTAACTAGGCGCTGGAAGCGCTCTGCCCTTCTGTCACCAGAACAGGAAGCGAAGCAATACCTCGACAAGTTTGATATTCACCTTCAACCTGACGCTTCAGAGGTTCCATATTAAAACAACATTTTGAAGATTCGGATAATGCGGCGCTATCACGTCATACTTCAGTATCACCTCATCCATTTCAATTCAGATTGCGAAAGGATTCCAATCTCTAGCCGAAGAGATCAAGCAAAAAACACTGAAAGCTGTAAGAGAGAAGGACGAAAAGGAAAGAAGGGACAGACCATTGTGATATTTGAAGCTGTATTCCAAATTTGACATACATTATTCATGAGTTTTGAGTAATGAAAGTGATTTTTGCCTAGTTCTGATTGAGCTGAACAATTTTGCACCGTACAGTCGTAAAGTTTACTTAACACTCAATTCTTCTTCACCATTTACACTGCATGTAAAGTCATAAATATATTCTTCCAAGCTCTTAATTTGTTTTATAGAACAGTAGAGCAGTAGCGTCTTAGACGTCGATTCATTTCTTCCCGTGCTGTTGAGCACATCAGGCGACGGATTCTTTCCATTGTTGACCGGTTTTTTGCGCAAGTCATTCTCGCGCTTCACCCCTAAAAACACGACCCCCTTTCCCCTACCCATGGTTTTCCAAAGTATTCGAATCTTCTGTGTGGCAATGATTCGTCACCTCGTCCTCCCTACGATTCTTTTGCAAGCCGCGCGTTGCCTTCCTATGCCACACTGATCACTACGAACCAAACCAACACACCACTTTCCATTTGAATTTTAATTCCAGACAGGTGTAAGATATTATTTGCATTAGGCTAACTACAACACTTGTGAAAGTAATGATGACAGCAAATAAGTGGCAGCAGCACCGTTGTGTCCGTTGATGACCCTTTTGATTACGACCCCCTCCCAACTCTCATCGGAGCAAATACGACCCCCTGTCGAGGATTTCCTCGACCGTTATTCACCCTGCTCCTAGAACAGCGCTCCTAGCACGTGGTGCATGCT